ATTACCCCTATTATGGTCCTATAACATTTTTGTTTTATAATAATATATTATATATATACATATTATCTGCGAATAAGCAGAATAAAATAAAATATTATTATTACTCGTAAATCGTTTCCCAAATTTTATATAGATAGTTGTACTTATACACGTTATTCTAATATCTATTGAAATTTCAAAACACTCAAATTCATGTCGTGAAGTATTTGGTTATTCCCACAATTATTATTTTTTTATATATAATACACACATATATATATATATATATAATATCAATAAGTTATAAAAATCAAAATATAATTATAAATATATGAAATTTATATTAGGACAAATTAATAAATTAACTCGTTAAGTTAAAAGTTGTTTAAAAAAAAGAGGAAACTCGTTAAGCTGGAAGTTACTATTGAACATAAAAGTAACTCGTTAAATAACTTAGTTAAAAGTAACTTAACTTTTTAACTCGTTAATGCCCAGCCTTGGAAATAGGTAACAAAAATATTTATAAATATATATATCATTTGGTTATACAGAGTTATATGGTTTAGAGTACCACTGGTAATGTAGATTAAACTCTATTCTAACTAATCATATTCAAACGCATACCTGAATGGTTCTATTCTTTGCAAAACAGTTTTTGCTATATTATACACTTATAAGACAGAACAGGAATGGGCTGATMAATAGTGGCACTCCTGGCAAAATAAAAATTTGCCCCCTCCCTAAATTTTCAAATTTAACTATATCAAATTTTGTGTCCCCATTYCTACTCCATATTTTGCGCCTCTGGCAGGCACCCACCTTGCCAGGTCCTCGGCCTGGCCCTGAGAAAGAGACAACAAATGATGGTGTAGCATCTTACTCTTGATAAAATTATGAATGTGATAATTTATTACTACCAATCAAAAGATAGTACACCAATAGTATGAAATTCTTCAATATGATAATAAAACCAAATTTTATACMAGAAAATTGTTATTTATAAATTTTTAAACCATAATAATTAAGTATTGGACTAAGAAAATATGATATAATGTTCATTTTACCTAATTGATCAAGTGGTTTTTCATAATCATCACTAGTAAATACTTTTCTAGGAAAGTTAGTCATGAGACAGAAAGGAGCATCACCATCAGAACGATTTAGTTCAATATAAACTCTCACAGCAGCCATCATTTCTTTAACATTAAATGTTTGAACAATCGTTTGACCATTTGTTAGACGAATCTAAATACCAATAAATATTAATTAAAATTAAAAATGTATTAGGTTATCAGAAAAAATATAATTTAATATAATACAATTAACAATATGATGAGGTAAAATATTGCTTTGAAAATTATATCCAGTCAACAGGTATATTAATAATGTTTAATAAAATTTAGGAGAAATTAAATGTAATCAATAAATGTAGCTCAATTTTAAATATGTAATAAGTAATAACTAAAATGTAAATTTCAATATGTATATTAAGCATGTTAACCTGTAATTTTGTTTCTGTATAATCCTTTGTTTGTTTTTGAGGACTCATAGCTATTGGTGACACTTGTTTTGGTTGTTCTTCTGCGGAAGCTTGACCATACAATTTTTTTCTAGCTAATTTATCTGCTTCTATTTGAGCTTTAACTCGATCACGAGCAATTTTTTCTTCTTGTTTTTCACGTTTTCTTTCATCCATAATTTTTTTTATGTTTTCATCTTCAAGCCTAAATAAAAAAATGTATGAATAGAGCAAGACATTTTATTTACACAAATCATTTTACTTCTTTTTAGCGGCAGCCATTTCTTTTCCAGAGCGAATTCGAATTTTTTCTCTTTCTAATTCTTCTTCTTTTTCTTTAGCTTCACGTTCCTTACGTTTTTCCTTTAAACGTTCTTCTAATTTTTTCATTTGTTCTTTTTTTTCTTCTTCAGTTAATGGTTTCTTTTCTTCTGTCGATTCTGTGAAATTACTATGATTTGATTTCACAGCATGATATTCTAGTGCAGCAGTATCAGTAAACAATTTTTTACAGCTAGAAATATAATGTTTAATATTGGTTGTAATCACAAATATTTAAGGGAACATTTTGATAAAAAATATTGAATTACAGTTGGAACTTAATTGATCTAATATTATAAATTACAAAACTAAGATCCATCTCAAATTTTGTTTAAAACTAGGTATAAATCTGTGCAATTTTAATTAATTATCTTACTCTTCACATTTATATGATTTAGCTACTGTTGAAGATGATGTATTTGTTTCTGACTTAGTGTTTGAAGTAGAACCTTCTTGAGAAGTTGATGGTCCCATTTTATCATCATTGTGTGCCAATAACCTTTACAGATAAATAATATGTAAAAAGTCATACAAAGATATGTTTGAAATGTAGCATTTTAATCTAATAATTAAAGAATACAATAGTTATCAGAATTCATCAGCGATTTAAGTAAAAATATTGCTGAATAGTAGTGCATTAGAAATTCAATTGTATATTTGTATGTTTAATATTTTATAATACTGATGGTACATCTATACACAAATGAATAATTCTTACCACTCCATGGCAGGTTCAACACCTTGATTTCCTGTCATTGAAACACTCTTTTCACTGTAACAAAACATGCAAAAAAAAAAATTAGAAATGTTTTCAATCAGATAGAAATAATTTTTGAGTGTATGTATAAACATACGCTTTTTCTTTCTGGAATCCCATGTCAATGAGAATCTGAACGGTTTCTTGAGACATGATTCAATAAATTGTTAACGGCAGAACTATAATAAAATTAAAAAATGAATACAACTGGTTTTAATATTTTTTTTTATTTAATCAGCATGATAATCGAAATTTAAAACKTCTTTATCTTTTAACTTGAATACAAAATTATCAAAATGATACAGATTTTCGTGATTTCTGGTTCAATGGATCCTCGATCATTTCCGTAATCTGTACAGATAAAGCCGAAATCAGGTATTMGGTTTTATTTCCGACAGTAGCTTCATACTTGTCAATATTGCCACAGGCACAGAACAATATAGGTTAATGGACACTCGATCAGCTGATCGGGTTACTGTAATATCCCTACGGTTGAAGTATTGGAAATTTTACCGTATCCGTAATCTGGTTGAATGTTAGCAACGTGTATCCCTCTTTGTTACGAAATTTTAAAAACGGATACAACGCAATGGCCAGGCGGGAGGCGCCGAGGCGGCAGCCGCGGTGGCAGCATGCCGGCATTAACCACCGTTCACTTGCCAGTTGCCAATTGTCATGTATCGGCTGTATCTGTATCCCGTACTCCGTAGTTGTGGCGTTTTCATATGTTATTACTTATTAATTTATTATTCAATTTTTTTTGTAATTAATAATTTTCATTATGGTTGTAAAGTGTCTGGTATGCCCTAACAAATATTAAGTTTTAAGAAGGCGCTACACCCTCATGTGTTCTTTGTTTTACAAACGGATGCGGGTGTGTAGTGCCCTCTTAATGTAATATATTATTTTTTATTTTTATTTTACTTTTTTGTTAGGTT